CTTAGCCATTCCTCCTCTATCCCTGGCTCCTAGACGCCATTGCCGGCTTTCAATCAGGCGCAAGCGGACGCTGGTGGCTGCTTTCCCTCGATTCCAGGGTCGCCGCGCCTGCCGCCCTCGTTGGCACACGTACAGCTTCTGCCTGGCTAGTGCTGCTTCTCGTGCTCAACCCTCAGCCGTGGCTTTGATGGGCTCAGCGGGCATGAACACCGGCCGCTTCCCCTCGACGCCTCACTCGCGGCCGCAACGAAGGCTTGCCGCGAGAGCTCAAGGAGATGACCTCGGTGGCGGTGACAACCTCGACGGCGGGGACGACCACGGCGGACGACGCGGAGGAAGCGGCAGCCGCGGTTCCGAGGAAATTCAGTTTATGGAATAGTCAAACACGATTTTATTCAGTTAGTCAATTTTCTTGTTTATAGAAAAAAAATGGATTCTCTACGTTCCATCTTCTTCAATCCAAACAAGACAACCCGTCTTGTCGATCGATCTGAAGCGTAATTACCCCGCTATCTTACCATATGCAACATCGATCCTTATCTTATCTCCGGAGCTCACGAATTGACCGCACTTTTGCTGGCATCTTTTACCCTGGCCTGTTTTCACACGGCCTTTTTACTAGCCCACGCGCGGTGGAAACCAGCAGTGCGTGGTAAATATTTTTACCACGCGCGCCTCTTTGGCCGATCCGCAGGGTCGCGCGCTAGGTGTTGCTCTGCGATTGCGGTAACTATGCCCCCGTGCACGTGATTGGCCAGCTGCTTAACCATCACACGGTCGCTATCCGCATACGTCGTCTTAGCAACGTCGCTGTCCAGAGATAATGTGTGATGCTAGTGATAATGTGTGATGGTAGTGATCATCCTATCGACATCGATGTCAACGCGACTAGGGTATAGACAAGCAGATTGAGGGCATTGATGCTGAGATTTTTATTGCAGGATACGCCGTAGCTAGGAGACGAGGACAAGTGGTATTTTTCACTTTATACCTCTGGTCGAAAGCCCGTTACTTAGCCATGGAATACAGCGGCAAAAATAGTGTGTTTGTGTTCGTACATGGAAATGCAGAATAGCTGAAAAAAATCTTCTTGAAAACTATCTGTCTGGTCTGGGTGCTGGTCTAACTCAGCGCTGAGCTAGCAAGGAGTCAAGGACTCATGGTTAGACACTTAGATGTGGACCTAACAGTAAAGAAATCCTACTAACATACTAAAGAAATCGAGGGAAATACTGCTTGATAACCCCAAGCTTTAACTTTTCTAGACAGTCAAGTGGTTAGAGAGATGATGGTCCTCCTAGTCCAGTGGACATCAAACGCACTCAAATTTGACATATTATATGTCTCATGTAAGGGAGATTGTCTTTCTGTCTGTAAACCATGTATTCGTAGACGAGGTGCTAGCTACTATAGTGACTTCGCTATTATCTTCAAGCTAGATGACTTTATTAATCTTTAGTAGAGATAGTGTGACTTTGCACATTGTTGTATCTAACTCTTTCTTTTACCACATGCGCTTCCTTAGCATTCAGGGAAGCCGGGGGCAACAGGGCCAAAAGGCACCGGGAGAATTTGCTAAACCAGTGAGCTAAGGCGCTAGACTGCCATGCACGACAATGTTGATTGCAGCCACAAATATGTGAAAACATGCATTATCAACACCCACCATCCTTATCTACCCTCCACTTGCTTGTTGAGATTCTGTTGCCGTCAGGGCGAACAATTACATACTCTAAATCAAGACTGCCATGGCCTTTCTGTTGCCGTTTCACCACGCGCCTTTGGAACTTGGCAAATGAGTGGCTTCATCCAAAAAATTGTCTCAATATTGTCACGCATGACAATGCCAATTGTCACCAAACTATGCCAGAACATGATATTGTTCGCCCTGACGGCAACAGAATCTC